TAGAACTCTTCAGCTGAAAGATGCTTGTAGGTTTGATGGACACGCTGAGTGTGTACGATATGTGAAAAGCCTTGGAATCCCGATGCTCGTCTTGGGTGGTGGAGGGTACACTTTGAGGAATGTAGCTAGATGTTGGGCAAATGAAACTGGTGTCTTACTCGACGTTGAAATGACCAATGAGATTCCCGAAAATGCTGGTGAGCGCAGTGTTGCAGTACATTGTTTGCACCCCACATAGTCAGTTTAATTAGTATGCTTACCAGTTGAAGACCCGTTCCGCGATCACTTATAGGAATAGGAGTTCTTCCTAGAGAGTGATATCTCGCCGCAGCAGAAGACCTTGTGTGAGTTTAGCTTAAGAAGGTTGTAGGGGCGACAAGGCGCAACGTTACACCAGTGACTCTGCCCGCATTACAAACTCGTTTGTCTGCTCTTGCTCTTTTACATGCTCTCTCGCTGCTCTTGTCTGGTTTCACGCCTGAAACCCCAACCGATTCTTTGCTGCTCGGAACAAGGAGGGCCTTATTTGCAGTGGAGTTGAAAAAAGAAACCCACGTGTATGGGTTTCTAATTTCAACTTCGCTGCCTACGAACTTTCCAAAGGTATCGCGAATTCTAATCACAAATTAAGACATATTTCGTGATCACATGTTAGGTAAAATCCGCATGATATGTATACTCTAGTTCGCTGCTAGGCGAAGGGGCGTGTCAGGCAGTATGAGTGTGCCGCGGCAGTAATCCCGTTCTCTGCCAGTTGTTGAAGCGTCTATGCGACAATAGTTGGTAAAAAGCGAGTGATACGAGCGATTGATAGAGTCTTGTCACTTGCTCGCTTAAACAACAGTGGGAACCAGTTTGGCAACCTCATCCCGCCGACACGCCCATTTGTCCGCAGCGAACTAGACTATATACGATGTGTAGGCCACGTCGCAGAGCGCCTCGTGCTTTGCAATTTCTGAACTGTGGGAAGGGTCATATTGTTTATTTAAGTGTGAGGTACTTGGTTTGGTGGATTCTTTTTTTGATTGCCAATTTTTCCCGTTCCACATTCACTATATATCCACTTTCTCTGTCAGAGGTTTTTCTGTGGTGGGATAGTATTTTGAAAAATACGCCATTACAATAAGACGTGCGCTGATGGGCCAGAGTGAAGGCACTTCGTCTTTTCAAAGCGCCTGGTAAGGAAAATCGGGGATTGTCATCTAGCTCTACTCGCGTTCCTCAAAAAGGATCCACTCATACTGCGTTTTGATAGTATGCGCGGCCATGAACTCTCTTGTTTGTATGGGTTCTCGCACGCGCATTTTCTGAGCTGTCGCTTGCTCACCCACTCGTCAGATGCTGAAAACCAGGGGAGGGGTTCTTCTATAGTTTTCAGCGGTCTCTTGCGTTTCTTTCGTATTTGATGGGTAGATTGACACTATTTTTTGGTTTCTGAAGCACACTGCGTAGGTCTTCCAATCTCGGAATGTATCTTTGACTAAAGTGGATTTCTCTTCCCGCTGATCTTCATGCCTTTGGCGGTTGAATGAGAATTTCTCACTTTCAGAGTACCTTCCATTTTTCGAGCCAGAATTCACACTCCGCCCTGAACTCCCTAAACGTGCTGATAACCATAATACAAAAGAGGTAGGCTCTTTCTCCCTTAAAGACACATAGTACGCTCACACACTATGTGACTAGCAGCCCCCCCCCCCAGCTGTCGAAGCATAGCGGTTTCCCCGTTCAAACATGCGCAGGAATGGAGATACAGGACCGTGAAACACGCTAGTTCGTCCATGCTCCGCCCAATGCCTTTTTGCGGCGCAGATTCCCGTCCTTCATAACATCCGTCGTAAGCGCGCGTGTCGCGTGCGGCTCCTTGGCACTTTGCCAAGTCCTTTAATTGCGCTTTCAAATACAAGTAAAACGCAATTTCCTGATGCGGATAACATTGGAGGTGCTGCAAAATAAGAACAGAAGATGATGACGAGGGTCAGAACTTAAAAGCAACTGTGCCACTTCTGCAACATCCCTCGGAGGCCGCGTATTTCCACGAAACATGAAAATAAAAACGGCATACTCGTTAGTTTGATACAAACGCAATTTCCTGATGCGAATAAAATTTTAGGTGTTGCTCATGCTTCAAAATCCATGTACAAGGAGATGAAGATGACACAGGCTAGAAATGAAGCACAACGATGTAAATGTAAATAAAACAAAAATGAAAAAATCAAGGAAAGGCAAATTAGTTAAAATCGCCTGTAAATTTCTACGATCCGGCTGCGAATCCGGCGCCAAAGCCATAGAAATACTTAGAACAAACGAGTGGGACGCTTGGGCTGTTTTTATTCTCATGTTTTGTGGGAATGCGCGGCCTCTGATGGATACTGCAGATGCAGCCGAGTTGCTCTTGAGTTCTGGCCCTTGTCATCATCTTCTGTTCTTATTTTGTAGCACCTCCAATGTTATCCGCATCAGGAAATTGCGTTTTACTTGTATTTGAGAGCGCAATTAAAGGACTTGGCAAAGTGCCAAGGAGCCGCACGCGACACGCGCGCTTACGACGGATGTTATGAAGGACGGGAATCTGCGCCGCAAAAAGGTGTAAGGCGGAGCATGGAGGAATTAGCGTGTTTCACGGTCCTGTATCTCCATTCCTGGGCATGTTTGGGCGGGGGGACCACGACACATCGACAGCTGGGGGCTGATAGTCTCATACACCCTCAATGTGTTTGAGCGTACCATGTGTCTTTAACTGACTTTCCCTTTGTTGAACACTGATTTTCAGTTTCTCGCTGCCATTAGACAAGAAATTACTGAAAACTTACGTCAAGTTCGTGGAGCTCCATCGGTTCAATTCATGCCAATCCCTGAAGACATGATTGACATCGATGTGGCTTTGTGTCGACCTGAACTTGGAGACGAAGAAAGAGGAAAAGATCATGAAGAAACGAACGTCACATTCTCAGGAATAGAAGTATAATACATTGAATGGGTCTGTTAATAGTCCTCAAAAGGAGATCTGTTATTTATGTGCTGTATTGAAATTAAACAATGATTGCTGGTTGATGGTGTGAACTACAGAAATAGGCGCGGGCAAGGGGAGAAGTTATTACGCCAATTGCTGTATCCTTCCTTGGAGCGATTACCAGAAATTCATAGGGAAGCAGCGTGGGCCTAGTTTGCTTCCCACAAAATGACTAGCCTAATCATCGTGCGCAGGAAATGCTCATTATTCGAAACGTTTAACAACTCAGAACATTTACAGTAATCCTGGGCGTTCAAGTGGGCCAGATCACTGCCTCATATGACACAGTTGACGTAGCCAGGGCACATCGTCGTAGGGATTCCCCAACAGAGAGGTATTTGGTCGCTGGGAGAGGGAGGGGATTGTATTTCCCTCCTGACTCTGAGAAGAGGTTGCTGAGTTTTCCTATACCATGTCTACTATTTACCCCACTCCCCCCTCCCTCTTCCACCCAGATTTTGTACTCGGCCAAAACCCCCAACTATTGATGTGCCCTGGACATAAGTGAGACTTACCATGTTTGTGCACACGAGGGTTTGTATGCAAGAATGTTTGCTCCTTCTATGTGATTGGTTGTACTCATTGTAAATATCATACTCTATATATAAAGCAGAAGTTGTCTGTCTGTCGGACGGACCAATAGGAGAACAGGCTCGCAATGGTCGAGGCCTATATTTAGCTGACCAGGAAAGGTCAACAGGTCAGCCTGGCCATTTCCAATGAACTGCACACCGTTGTACGCGTCTTGGGACAGTGAACTCAAATCTACGTTTTGCGGAACGATTTTCTGAACGGAGTTATGGAGGGTCTTATCCCCGCGTGGTCGTTTCACT